TAATAATAATAATAATAATAATTTAAAAAATTTAAAAATTCAATAATTTTATTAATATTCACAGACTTATCCCAGTCATTTGTTAGCCATTTTCTTAGTTGTCTTTTGTCCTCATATTTCTGCTTGTCTCTTTTTAGTTTTCTTGATATAGTACCTCCTTCACTACTTCTTGAAAAGCTGGTCTACTGTGGGTCAGTTCTTTCAGTTTTTGTTTATGCAGGACTGGTTTTATTTCTTCTTCCTATCTTGTCAGGTTTAATATTTGTTATAATGATATATGAGCCTACAATCATCTAAAGTATAACATTCAATATTTTAAAAAAAATCATATGGGACCAGCAGTTTGCGTAATGGCTACATCGCTAGGCTCCCATGTAGTCGACTGCTGTTCAAGTCCCAAACCCAGTGGTTTGAACTCATGCTGGGCGTGTGTGCATGTGTGCCCAAGATCCTGAGAGGAGAATGCAGGAGAAGGGATTGTGATGTGGCCATCTCCCCTGGAGGGTGATTTCTTGCTTTCTGTCTCTCTGTCTCTGTCTTTCTGGCAAGTGCACGTGCCCTATAGCAATTCTCAAAAAAAAAAAAAAAGAAAGAAAGAAAAAAATCATACTTCTAAATACTAGCAATGAACATGTAGAAACTGTAATGAAACAAATTATATTATTTACAATCACTCCAAGAAAAATGAAATACTGAGGAATAGTCAAACAATGTACTAGACAGTGGGTACAAATGTTAAAAAAAAAAATAGGACTGACTCCATAGGCTGGTGGTTACAGCAGTCAAATTTCACATAGGTGACTACATGATTTGAATCCTGGACCCAGTGGTTTGAGAAATACACCAGATACATATGCATGTATGTGCAAAATCTTGACAGGATGAAGAGATGGAAGAGAAAGGATTGTGATATGACCATTCCTCTTCAGGGTTGGTTTCTTTTCTCCCACTCTGTCTTTCTGTCTCTCTATGAAAAGCACACACGCTCTCTAGTTAAATAAATAAATATGAAGGTAAATAACATTCTTAAGTTTATGATGTAAAAATAATACATTTGGCATATTCATTTACAAGGGAATAATATATTAGACACACTCATAGAATCACAGAAATATCTTAAAAACAGAGCTTACTGAAATATTAAATATTAACAACAGATACATAAATAAAAAACAAAAGTTGCAAACACAAATATACATTGAGTTAACAATCACACAAAATAGATGATATGCATCAAATGCATTAGAATGACTGCTTATAAAGAGAAGGGAAATAAAAAGTAGCGAATAGACATAAAGAGGAGTGAATATGTAAACAAGAGAACAATTAACTCAGAGAATATGATTAAGTCAATCTTCTACAATTGATGTCAAAATCACTCCAGCAAACCTCTCTCAATAAAAACTATGTGTATTTCAGTGAAAGAATTCTTGATTGCTGACATTATTTAGAAACACTGGAGTATAGAGGTGATCATTAAAAGAACAGCTTTTACTATTTTAGTGTTGCATTAAAATCCTCTGAAGACAATGCTTCCCCTTTGGCCTGCAATGAGTTGGACCAATTCCACTGCCCCATCTTGCGGGGGGAGGCGGTCACTGAACCATCAAGTCTCTTACTAAGAAAGTGCTCTAGTTGGTGCTGGGGTTGTGGCCTCCCAGTCCCCTTATTTTAGTGTGGAGAGATGCTGTCAATGGCTTTCTATAGGGTGAATGCTTTGTTCTTCCTGATGCCTTCAGTTGCTTACGGGATTGGATGGTGTAGGCTACCTGGACATGATTTTGTCTGCTATCTGGAAAATGTGTCACTGTCACCCAATACATATTACAAATCTCCACATCTGTCCCCTTACCCACCACGTACATACACAGAACAAGAAAGAGCAAGTCCTTTTCCTCCTTGCTTGTAAGATAAAATTTTAAGAAGGTCATTTATCATGGCCAGCTCTGTAGTGGACAGGTCATTAAGACAGCTGGATCCCACATGGCGAACTGTGCTGTTTGAGTCCTTGACTCAGTGACTTGAGAAAACACTCCAGGTGCATGTGCAGTGAAGGGATTGCCCCTACAGGGGTGCTTTCTCCTCTCTATCTCTCTTTCTCTGGCAAGAACACATACCCTCTAGTAAAGAAGAGAAAAACAAAAAGGAATTTGGTCTCCATCCTTCTCTACCTCTTATTTGCAATGATAGTTTAACTCTTGACCCATGAGCCTATTTCCTAGCTCTGTAAGACTCCATGCCCCAGCCAATGGCTGGCCTGGGATGGCTTAGACATCACAAAGCCCCACTTGTGACACCGTAGGCAGGGTAGAGGCAGGGGTGGTAGGACAGGCCAAGATGTTGTGAATATGTCTTCATTTCTTTCTTTGTTTTTAAAGGTTTTTACCATAGGGTATGAGTGCTCACTGGTGAGACAGTGAGAAGGAAAATGAAAGATGATCCCTCAGGGAGGATGGCCATGCTGCCATCTTTTTTCTCCATTCTCCTCCTCGGATTTCGGGCACATACACACACACACACACACACACACACACACACACACACATGTGCCTGGGGTGATTTTTCAAGCCACCAGATCTGGGACTCCAACTAAGTCAGCTATGTGAAGCCCAGAGCCTTCACTACCATGCCATGGGCTGGCCCCAACTATGTCTTAAACACCCCTTAACACTATATCTCAGGTTTCAAATACCTTCCTCTTCCCCTTCTTCCCTCCCACCCTTCCATCAAGAAACAGGCAGGGATACATACATTTCTTTTTAGTCTCATTTTATTTTAATGCAGCCATTGAGGTACCCTTTATTGTTTAGATCTGACTTTTTTAATAGTTAACTAGTGCTCCACTTCTTCCTCTGGAATCACAGGATTCTGACTGCTGATGGTCACAGGGTTTTTCATTATTCAGTGGAGTCCTCTGCGGTGTTTTCTTCGTTTCCCGGGTGGCTTTGTTTCTTTTTCTTATTCTCCCTATAGTAGCAGATGATTATGTCCACCTTTTTCCCTTTCTTCCTCTTTTTCAAACTCTCCTGAAGGGTTAAGTTGACCTTCTTGAGTAGTTTTTCTATCTGGTAAAGAAACAAAGAGAGACCAGACTGGTATTAGTTTGGAGGAAGAAGATGATGGTAAGGGGGGAGCTATATGAGAAGAGGTACAGGTTGAGGAAGGGGTTCATGCCAGTGAAGGACAGGGTAGGAGACATGGGGTAGGGATCTCTGGGGAGTATTATCTTACCTTCTCATTTTCTTTATCATTAGATTGACAGGGCATCTCCACCTCTTCTCTCACATTGACGTTTGGAGTAGATTCTTCAGTAGTTGAAGTCTCATCTTCCACATCTGTGCTGGTCTCTTCTGGAGTGTAAATTTCCTCCTCCATATCGAAAACTCCCAGTCTTCTGTCCAAGAGCTCCTGCCCTCTCTGTATATATACCCTCCGCGGCAATGAGAAGACACACCCTTGAGCATTGTTTTGTCATCCAGGCACTGCTTCAGCCAATGGCAGCCCTGGGAAGGCTTTGACATCATAAAGCACACCTCTGACACCATGGGCGGGGTAGATGTAAGGGAGGTGGGAGAGGCCAACATGCTGTGAGTATGTCTTCAACATCCCTTAGAAATACATCCCAAAGTGACTTGTAACTCCTTATCATGCCGTGTTCAATTCTCATGGGGCACGGGGAAGAGGGAGAGAGTGACACCATTAAGTCCTTTCCACAGCCACCCTATTAAGTGGTTCATTTTATTGTCTCCCTGCTCTTATCATTACATAGTATTTAGTTTGTCTTATGTAGAATACCTCCAAGTTAATGTGGCCACATTTAAGTCACAGTAGAGATGTGAATCATTCCATTTTCTTCTTACAAATCCATCTGACACACCTTGAAGACCATTTACTTCTTGGCTCCTACCAGGCAACTTTTCTATCAACCTCCTCTTACTCCATGTCCATGTAGTTCTCCTCAGTTTCCTGTTTCCCAGTCTGATATTACTACCTTCAGTCTCTTAAAACTTCACTGAATAAACTCACTTTACCAGATATCCTAGCCTTGTTTCAAATCAAAAGTGTGTTTTCATGTTAGTAAATGTGGTTTTTCAGCATGGATATGTGTGTGGGGAGGAGGATAGGTATTAATATTCTAAAAGTTGTTCCAGGTGTTTGCATACAAGATACCACAACCCAAGACTGATGTGTGCAACCAAGGTGGATATTCTTCTTCTTTGTACTGGGAGTCCTGTCTAGTGCAACAAGAGAATAAAAACATTGAGATTGGAAAGGAAAAAGTACGTGTCTTTCTACAAAGACTATTAAAAGGCATCAAAGGGGCACCAGAGTTAGCGCAATGGCTATGTCACTGGACTCCCACGTAGTCAACCATGGTTTGAGTCCCGGACCCAGTGGCTTAAACTCACGCCGGGCGCGTATGCATGCATGCCCAAGATCCTGAGAGGAGAATGGAGGAGAAGGGATTGTGGTGTGGCCATCCCCCCTGGAAGGTGATTTCTCGCTTTCTATCTTTCTGTCTCTCTCTGTCTGTCTGATGAGCACATGTGCCCTATAACAAAAAAACAAAAAAGGTATCAAAGGTTTAATACCTTTCTTCATGCCTCATGAAGGTCACAGTCAACACTTGTATAACAAAAGACAAGTTAACAAGATAAAAAAAAAAACATAACAAATTCATTTAACCAAAGTTTCATTGAAGTTTTATATAACACAGAAGCCTTCAGAATGAAGACACAGAAATATAGGAAAAAGTATCCGTTTTTATGCTTGTTGAAGTGTGGGTGGTAATGTAGAAATATGATTAGACAAAAAGGGTATGGTGCAATGCTAGTTAGCCACTGAAAGTGGGTAAACCCAGCAAGGTCTGTCTGATTAGATCCTTCTTGGCCTCTCTGTGTAGCATTTCTTCCACCCAGCTATGGAGTAGGACCTCTGTGGAACAAGTCTTATGACCTCCTATCATAAAGGGGTTGAGCATTTCTTTAAGGCCAGTTACTAGACAGAAAGGTGGAGGAAGGTAAAAGTAATAATTCTATGAGTTCTAGGCTCTATGACTTACGTTGAAGAAGATTTCTGGTTTCTATGACTACTTCAGAAGAGAATAAGGACTGAGGGACAGAAAGGCAGAAAAGAGTCAGAGAGACCTTGGTTCTGAGGTTGCTTCTGAAGCATTACAATGCCTTTAATCAAAGTACTCATTGATTCAAGGGCCATTCTTTAGAATACAATTTTCTGACCCCCCCCAAACCAAATGAAAGCCTATGTAGAAAATTGGATTTTACAAAAGCTTCTACATTTAATAACTGAGTTTAGCAAGTTTGCAATACATAAGATCAATAAAGAAAAAAACAGCTGTATATGTCTGTGTTAGAAATGACCAACTAGAAATTGAAATTAAGAACAGAGTGATTTCAGGACCAGCAGATGGCATAATGGTTACATTACTAGATTTCGATGTAATCCACTGCTCTTTGAATCCCAGATCCAGCAGCTTAAAACTCGCACAGGGCTTGTGTGCATGCACGCCCTAAAGCTGAAGGGACAATGGAGAAGGGATTGTGGTATGGCCAATCCCCTGGGGGGGAGTGATTTCTCACTTTTTATATCTGTCTCTCCAGTGAGCTCATAGCAAAAAAGCCTATTAAAAGAAAAGAATGATTTTACATTATTAAAAAGTATAGTAGTGAATGGAGATGTGATTGTGGTATGGCCAATCCCCTGGGGGGGAGTGATTTCTCACTTTTTATATCTGTCTCTCCAGTGAGCTCATGCACCTTATAGCAAAAAAGTCTATTAAAAAAAAGAATGATTTTACATTATTAAAAAGTATAGTAGTGAAGGCCAAATAAAATCTGTTGATTATAACAATATTAATATTTTAATTTGGATAGTCTGCTATGACAGTGAACTGAAAAGTCTACTACTGGAGGAAGCTGGATAAAGAGCACATGAGATCTCCCTGTACATTCCTTTGAAAGTCCTTGTGAATCTATACATTTTGAAATCAAATGCTAAAACCTTAAAAGAAAAAAAAGGAAAAACTCAAACTTCTGACTGTATTTGTATAGAAATTTGAATTAGGCTCTTCAAATATTTTCTTCTGATTTATGTGGCATAAAATTGTTCTTAGACACCCTTCACAAATATTTCTTACTCCCAGAGTGCTTTCCATAAATATTTATGTGACCATTGGAAAGAAGAAAGGAAGAAAGAAAGAAGAGGGCTGAGGTTAGACAGGAATCCCCTAGAGTTCTCCAACAGATTAACAAAACTTAGAAATTAAGTTAGAAATTAACACGACTCAGTAAAACAAACAACAGGACAAGAGCCTTGATTCTGTTTCAGTGTTCAAACAGCACACGTAACTTCATCTGATACACCAGAACTTTAATAAAGGCCTAGCCTCAACTGGACTGGTTTGAGGTGTATTTCATATTGGGTAAATTCTCTGTACAAACTAAATGATGCATAGGAATTCAATGTATAAAAATAATTATTATTATAATAAAATGTTTTAAATTTAAAAAATTCAACAAGAAATGATAAACAGAGAAGGCTTAGCAACCTGTCACCTTCAGATGCAACAAATGTATAGCATTTCCGTGGCACTACGTAAACACTGTCAAGCAAGGAGAATGATGTTATTGAGGTACGCCTTTTTATAAGTGAATCATAGCCATAGTCTAGTGGCTACCACTTACATTTAATAAATGCTGAGAAGCCAACGTCTAAGCGTCGTCTTTTAAAGTCTTGCCTGCAATTAATGGTGAGAACGTCACCCTGTCATTTCATGTTATAAAAACAAAGCAAACAAACAAAAATCCACAGATATACGAACATCAAATAGAACAGTTCAGAAACCAATTAAAATGTTGGTAATGACAGCTTTCATTAAATTTTAAAATTATTTTTTAATTTTGCTTACTAATAGATGCTTTTGCAAACAATTTTGAAAATTAATGGTGAAAATTCACCAAAGTATTAAGAACACATTTAGTGTGTATATACAGTAAACATTGTAATTGACTTAATAAAATAACTTCTGTTGAGATCTTCAGTTATCCTCTTTTATAATTTTCACTAAAATGAGGAGTTAAATACTGAGTACCAACAATCAGTAAAATCATAAAATAAATTTATTTGATTGAAATTTTTCATTTCTGATGTGTTCACATCTCACAAAAATTCTTCCTCATCCCAGGTTAATGAACATGCTCTGCAAATCAGAGACAGATCCAGGGACTCGGCATTGTTTTTTCGGTCTTGTTTCCTGGATCTTTGTGCAAAAGGTATTATAAATCAGCACTGCTTTATTTGTAATAAATCTCAACTGCATGTTCAATATCTTTCATTACACTTTTCCACTATTTAAGGCATATTAGATCCCACGAAGAGCACAAGAATCTGCTTGGGGTTTGCTTCTCTCGGGGGCCACAACGGGCAAGGTGCTAGAGAGAGGCTGATCACTGTTACTCTCTTGGGCACGGAACGCTGAAAAGCAACATATGAGGAAGAGCTGAGGCCTAGAGGGGGAGACTTCCTCCAAAACTGCAAGACTTCCTTTGCAGGTGGGAGGCTGTGTGGCTTTGGAAAATGCCAGCACCATCACTTCCACTGCCAGCACGAGCGCCACCGCACCTCTCCTAACGACAGCAGCGTCTGCCCACCAAGAGCCAGAATTCTCGTGTGCCAGGCCCTGTGGTTGGTAAATTGGATCACTCAGGGACCAACAGGAACTGATACCCAAATTGCAGTGACTTGACAGAGATGTCCTTCTAAAGGGAGACCATCATAGACAGTGCAAAAGCACAGCCCAGCTGCTGGCACCCAGACCCAAAAGAATGAGAACGGAGTGTGCTTACTGGAACCTGGAAGGTGGACACACATGACAAAAGGCTGTGCTGAGAGGAGCAGTGACCTCTACCAATAGATAGCCAGCTCAGGGTGAGTCCCAGGGAGAGGGAAGAGAATTGGTCCTCAGCCCTTTCTGTTCAGTCTCCACTCCTCTCTCCTGTCTACCACTCTCCTAGGAGTCCCCAACAACCAAACCCAACAGATGCAGGTGCAGAAGGCCCTGGAGCCCTTTGACAGAATCCTTCCTGAACAGCTTCCTGGGAAGAGCAGGCTAAGAAAGACGGAGAGTGACTCAGGAAGGGCAGAGGGAAGATGCCAAGCAGAGATGCAAGGACCCAGGGTGGCAACCATACTCACCCCTTTTCCTCAAAGGAGAGGAAAGTGGGGCTCAGAGAAGCTAATCAACTCACGCAAGACTGTGAGACAGGCTTCAAACTCATGTTCTCCTGGCCTAAATCTGATTTCCTTTCTGAAACTCTGTGTAAATCGCAACCTTCTCTGGGCCTCTGTTCCGTCCACTGAAACGAAGAAGTTGAAATAACTGATGTTACCTTTTAAAAAAATTCTAAT